GAATTAAGTGCGCTGATTGTGCTATAAGTGGAAACATGAAATTTTGACACATAGTATGAAAAAAGTATACAATGTATTAATAATTTTATACTGATTTTACATTGAAAAGATAATATTTTAGATATATTGATTTAAATAAAATATATTATTAAAGTTATTTTCTGTTTCTACCTTTTTAATGTGGCTACATTAAAATTACACATGTGGCTTGAATTTGTGGCTCATAATTGTCTTTTTTGAGACAGTTTGGCTGTGTCACCAAGGCAGGAATGCAGTGATGTGATCTCGGCTCATTGCAGCCTCTGCCTCCCGGGTTCAAGCAATTCTCCTGCCTCCTGAGTAGCTGGGATTACAGACACAAGCCACCATGCCTGGCTTATTTTTGTATATTTAGTAGAGACAGGGTTTCACCATGTTGGTCAGGCACTCCTGACCTCAGCTGATCCACCCGCCTCAACCTCCCAAAGTGCTGGGATTACAGGCGTGAGCCATCACACCCGGCTGGCTCATGATATATTTTTATTAGACAACAATCTTTCAAAAACCTTACCCAGTAAACTTAATCAATGAGGCAAAAGACTTGTATACGGAAAACTACAAAATGCTACTGAGAAATTAAGGAAGACATAAATAAGTGAAAACACATGACATGTTCATGGATTGGAAGACAATATCATTAAGATGAAAAGATTAATTAAAGTTATATACAGATTTACTGCAATCCCTATCAAAATCTCAATAGCACTTTTGGCAGAACTAAAAAATTCCTAAAACTGGTATAGAATCTCAGTAATCCCTAAATCGCCAAAACAATCTTGGGGGAAAAAAAAAAGCAAAGTTGGAAGTCTCAAACTTCCTGATTTCAAAACTTTTTACAAAGCTTCAATAATCCAAACAATATGGTACTGGCATAAAGACAGACATATAGACCAATGGAGTGGAATAGCCAAAAAAAAAAAAAAAAGAAAAAAAAATCTCTTATATATGTGGTCAACTGGTCTTCAGCAGGGGTGCCAAGACCATTCAATGGGGGAAAGGACAGTCTCTTCAACAAATGGTGTGAGGAAGACTGGATATCTACATGCAAAAGAATGAAGCTGGGCATTTACCTTACACAATACACAAAAATTAACTCAAAGTGTATCAAAGGCCTAATGTAAATGTAAGTTTTATAGCTAAAACTATAAAGCTCTTAAAATATAGAGGAAAAGCTTCATAACATTGGATGTGGCAATAATTTCTCGGCTACGACACCAAAAGCACAAGCATAGACAAAGTAAAAACAGATAAACTGGACTACATCAAAATTTAAAAACTTCAGTGCATCAAAGAACACAATCAACAGAGTGAAAAAGGAAACCTACAGAATGGAAGAAAATATTTGCAAGTCATATATCTGATAGGTTAATATTCAGAATCTGTAAAGAACTCCTACAGCTACAACAACAAAAACCTTATTTAAAAGTAGGCACAGGACTTGAATAGACATTTCTCCAAAGAAGTTACACAAATGACCCACAAGCACATGGAAAGATTCTCAACATCACTAATTATTCAGGAAAGGCAATCAGAACTACAATGAGATATCATTCCATACTGATTAGGATGGCTATTATCTAAAAAACAGAAGAAGTATCAGAGAAGATTTGGAGAAACTGGAACCCTTGGGCACTGTTGGTGTAAATGTGAAATGGTGAAGCCACTGTGGAAAACAGTATGACAGTTCCTAAAAATATTAAAATAGAATTACCATAAGATCCAGCAATACCACTTCGTGATACACATATATATCCAAAATAATTGAAAGCAGGGTTCTGAAGAGATCTTTATACACCCATGTTCATAGCAGCATTATTTCCAGTAGCCAAAAGGTGGCGCAATCCAAATGTCCACTGATGGATGAATGGCTAAATAAACAAAACTCATATCCATACAACAGGATATTATTCAGTCTTAAAAAGGAAGGGAATTCTAACACATACAACCTGGATAAGCTTTGAAAACATTCTGCTAAGTGAAATAAGCCAGTCACAGAAAGACAAATTCTCTATTATTTCACTTATATGAGGTATCTAAAGTAGTCAAACTAATTGAAACAAAGTAGCACAGTGGTTGCCAGGGTCTGGATGGAGGTTAAAAGGGAAGTTTAAGGAACATAAAGTTTCACTTTTGCAAGATGATAAAGTTCTGGAGATCAGTTGCACAATAATGTGCATATAACACTACTGAATGTACACTTAAAAGTGGTTACAATGGTAAATGTTGTTACATCTACTTCATGTTACATGTATTTTACTACAATTAAATATTTTTTAAAAATCTGGCTAGGTCTGGTAGCTCACTAGCCTGTAATCCCAGCACTTTGGGAGGCTGAGGAGGGCGGATTGCCTGAGGTCAGGAGTTCGAGACCAGTCTGGCCAACATGTTGAAACCCTGTCTCTACTAAAAATACAAAAGAATTAGCCAGGCTTGGTGGCCTGCGCCTGTAATGCCAGCTACTTGGGAGGCTGAGGCAGAGGAATTGCTTAAACCAGGGAGGTGGCGGTTGCAGTGAGCCAAGATTCCACCACTGCACTCCAGCCTGGGTGACAGAGTAAGACTCCACCCTCTCCCCCTCCAAAAAGTCCTTCCCCAGGTATCACTCCCCCTCCTCTCTGCTCCTGCATAAATTAACAACTCCCTCCTTTGCACCTCCACATTATCTTGGGTATAGCACTATTATAGCTCTTATCACATTTTTGGTAATTATGTGTTTGACAGGATAAATGTTACTGTCCCATTTGTGCCCATCCTGGGACAGGTATATACTCATCCACTCCTGGTATCTTGACCAGAAGCTAAGAAAATATACTAGGGTCTTTGGCAAGGCAGAGAAAAGAGTCAGTGACCCTGATGGCATAATAGGCTAAAGGGGACCATTATTATCAGCAAGAGTATATCTTGTATCTTGTAGATGTTTCACTCTGAGGCTGGACCTGGAGGAACCATTTTTCTTCAACAATCCTTTTATACGTGGGATCTGAAAAACCTAAAGAACACTTCCTTCCTCCCTCAACGCACAAAAACATCTCCATTATGAGGACAGCCAGGTGAAATGACTGGCCATACAGAGTCTGACCCACTGGAGGTAAGAGAGGAAGATGGTCATTCAAGATAGATTCAAGATAGAGCAGCTGACCTAATAAACAAGGCTCTTGGGGCTTGGGGGGCGGGGTTGGGAAATAAGGAACTATTTTGCTGCTTCCCGTGGACTCCTTGTATGTAAGTTTGATGCCTACTTAAAAAAATTTTTTTTTCGATAACGGACAGTAACTTTCTGCCCTTCCAAGGTCATAGTGAAGAGGTTACATTTGTTTGATCCATCTTTGCTCCTAGATGGGAGCTCCTTTTGGGGCGGGATCATACCTTATTCATCCTTGGATCCGCTGTGCCCACCAGTCCTGGCAAATAGCAGGTGCCCAATAAATGCCAAATAAATGACTGAATGGTTAGAATGAGGGTTTTTGTAGTACCGAGTCTTTCCAATAACCCAGAGAGAGGCTTTTGGCCAAGCAACTCGTCTACCCCAGAGAGAAAGGACAGTCTGAACTAGAGAGCCACTGGAGTATGAGGGTCTGGTGGGTACCGGGAGCAGAGGGAACATGAGAAGAAAAAGGTTTATTACATAGCCCAGGCTGATGAAACTGGCACCCTCCAGCTTCATGTTTTATTGTCTCACTGGTCATTTTATAGTGCTGACATTTATCTGGTCTCCAGGCAAATTTTATAATTTCAGTTCCATCCGAAGCAACACAATAATCCTGACTCAGTCGCCTGGATTCCACAAGCCACACACGTTGCTTCAGCTTAAATGGGGCATTGTTTTATCTGGCTGCTGGGACTGGCTCGGGTCTGCTAACAGTAAGATGCTTATGCATGGCTCTTTCGTGCAGTCAACCTTTAAAGATTTTTTTCCCTCTCTTGAAATCCTGGAAATGATTCCTAACAACGGTTAATCTAAAAATCATCTGGTTTTGGTCAACATAAGGCGCCTCTTCGAACTCACATTCATGGAATTTGCAAGCTGGAAGGAAGAGTGGAAACTAGTTCTGCTTCCCAGGTAAGGAAATCTGTGCCCAGAGAGTTGAGCTGGGTTCCAACCAATTAAAACTAGAAGTCAGAGCTGCCCGTCCGGAGCCTTCTTCCCCTGCTGCCTGCCCGCAGGTGCCGCCACACCTGCTTCAGACACTGCCAGCTCACCCCTCCCTCCATTTCCTGTGTAGCTAGGGCCCTCTCTGGAGAGCTCTTAAACCATCAGCTTTAGGAGAGGAGAAATGAGCAGACACAAATCTTTCATAGGTTAATTTTCCTTGGAACGTTCTGGGTGATTTTTTGTAAAGCCGATTCTCAGTGGTGTTGACTTCAAGGTAGTGTTCCTCGCCGAGGGCTAAGGAGACGGTGCGGAAGTGCGCTGGTTAGCGGGAAGGGACCAGAGCCAGGGTGGGCGGCGGATGGGCCGAGCGGGTGGCCAGGGCACCGATGGCAGCAAACTGGCCCAAACCACCTGTGCATCACCTAACAAGCACAGACTGAGCACCTACTGTGTGCCTGGGTCAGCCACAGCTGCCTACTTAAGAACCAGCCGCTGCCCTCCGACCCTCCCCTGGCCGGAGGAGCCTTACTAACTGGCAGACTCAGGGACTTGTGATTCTTGTCGTGGGTCTGGCCTTAACTAGTGTCGAGACTCCAAGCAAGTATTTAAAATTCTCCAACCCAGGTGGCCTGAGGCTTGAGAAGAAATAAAAGTCTTCTCAAAGGGATGATAGTTTTGGGAAGGTGATTTTTTGGACTGGAGGAATACCAGAAAAGGCATTTTGGGGGTCATACACACATGAGAGCGGAAGCGCTGTGAGCCGCTCTGCAGGCTCCCTGCCCCAGGAGCCACCTCCGAGCCGCCCCGGGGCGAAGGCTGCCAACTCCCGCTCAGCCCAGCGGGCTCCTCCGACCCGCTTCGGGGAGCGCGGCCGCGGAGGCCGGGGGGCGCCTTTCTCTTTAAGAGCCTCACGGGCGCTCCTGATTGGCTGTAGCTATGCAGGGCTTTTGTCCTCGCTCCCTCTGAGCGCTCCCTCCCGCGTCGCCGGCCCCGCTCTGTTTCCACGGCCCCCTCCCCGGCCGCGCGCCCCTCCCGCCCCGCGCGCGCCTCCTCTTCCTCGCCGCCGAGTTCACCCCGGGCCGCGGTATGGGGGATACGCCAGCAACAGATGCGGGCCGTCGAGATCTGCATCCCTAGGCCACGCTGAGCCCCTGGGGAAGAGCGCAGGAGCCCGGGAGAAGGGCTGGAAGGAGGGGACGGGACGTGCGGAGAATTCCCCCGGAAAAGGCAGAAGCCCCCGCCCCCACCCGCGAGCTCCGCGCCGGCCGAGTGCCTGCCTGCCTGCTGCTGCCGCGGGCGCCCACCTCGCCCAGCCATGCCAGGCCCGGCCGCCGACGCGGGGAAGGTCCCCTTCTGCGACGCCAAGGAGGAAATCCGTGCGGGGCTCGAAAGCTCGGAGGGGGGCAGCTGCCCAGAGAGACCCGGCGCGCGCGGGCAGCGGCAGAATATCGTCTGGAGGAACGTCGTTCTGATGAGCCTGCTTCACTTGGGGGCCGTGTACTCCCTGGTGCTCATCCCCAAAGCCAAGCCGCTCACTCTGCTCTGGGGTAAGTCCCGCCGGCGCCCCCTGCGCCCTGGGCTCCATGGCCAGGCGCGCTGGGGCGCGCGAGGTCGCCGCTGGCCGCTCGGTTGCAGGCGGTGAGGAGCGACCCCCGCTCTCCTCTTGTCTCCCGCCGCGCGCCCCATCGGCATCCAGTTCTCCGCCCCTTGGGACTGGCAGGTGTTTCTGTCCCGAAATTTTCAACTTCCGCACCCCCTACCCCGCGGCGATCTGCTTGAGGAAGCGCATTTGCGGGCTTCGCGATGGAGAGCCGGGGGACCCGGAGTCCTGCGGCGCCACCGCTGTGCGCAGAGGCGCGCGAAGGGAGAGGCTCAGCACGGGCTGAATCGGCTCCCAGCGAGGGAGGACGGGCGGGTGATTGTGTCACCCGTGCGGTCCCTGGGGGCTCTCCTATCCCCCCCCCCCATCACCTCTGCGGGCCGTGGACCTTGGGGCAGAGATGAGGACAAGAAAGGGAGTTGGACGGGGGAGGAGAGACCCGACCAGGGTAGAGTCTTGGTTTAAGAGCACCAGATGGAAGATACCGGTTCCCCTCTTGCCTCTCCAAGGCCACTGTCCCTGCCCACCCCGCAGTCTTCTATGCCCATTTGCAGTTCTCCGCCCTCGGAAGTTTCTCGGTGAGCAAACCGAGCCCATGGCGGGAGCGGTCTGACCCTAGCACGAAGCACGATTGTGGCAGTGCAGAGCCTTCTCCAAATCCTGTTCCCAACTGGCCAGTGCGGGTCTGTTCCGCACCTGTGGCTCCCCTGTCACCCTCCTTCCTTGCACCCCCACTTCTGCCAGCAGGGAAGGGAACCCAGGCGCCGACCACCATTCCCCTTCCCCTGGGCCCCCAAGGGCTCAGTGCCCGCCCAACACGACCCCAGTCATTGATCTTTGAACCGCTTCGCCGTCGCCCTGGCCGTAATAACTGGCTTTGGCCTCTTTTACTGAAGCGGCAGTAACCAGGACAAAAGGCACAGGCATTGATAACGCTGAGTGAGAATTTGACTAGGTAATCCAAGATGCACTTCCAGCTCCCGTTTCCCTGATCTCTAAGGGCGTGCAGGAGAAACACAACCTACTTTTATTTCCAGAGGGGAAGAGGAAGGAAGAAAATAAGACCTCTTTCTACAAAAGCTTTTTTGGCCTAGTGCCAGCTGCAAATGCCTAGGTAGATAATGGGGCCACTGGTTCTAAGCCTTCCTTTGAAATCCTGCAGTCCCTGCTCTTGGAAGGAAACCTATCCAGAGTGGGTACCTCTTAGGGGGTGTGGCTCAGGGAGGGTACAGCAGAGCTGAGGGATGCTGAGAGAGGTAGGGTCTGACTTGGAGATCCCCAAAGCCTTTAAAAAGTCTCCCCACAGCTCTGGGAAATGTCCTGCCTCGTCTTTGCTTCTCTCAGTACACCTCGTTTCTGTTCACTTTTCACCATCACCTTTATGTGCTGGTTTAATTCCCCTCTGTCTTCCCTTATCTCCAACTGACTAGACTGTATGATGTTCTGCTGTTGCTTCATGAACACACTCCCACGCTGCTAGCCAAAGCCCTTATTGCCCAGAGTCTCCAACAAGCTCCTCTCTCCCCCAGCTTCCAGGGGCAGGGCTGGGCTTGGTCCTCAAAGCCCGGTGGCCTCTGGGGGATTGAGGCTTATCTTTAATAGCTGTGGTGTTCAGAGAGTGCTCAGGGAAAACTGAGCACTTAAAATATTATCTTACATGCCTGGGGCTCACAGGCTCCACTCCTTACAGCCTCTGAGCCCCAAGACCCTGGCATTAGGCCAGGAGCCACAAGGACAAGGCCCTCCTCTCCAAGTTTGCCAGGTCACCTCTGCCCTTTCCAGACCGCTCTCTGTGGTGAAGATAGAATCTCTGTTCTGAAAGACCTTGGCTTAGAGGACACCTCCCCAGACCCTAGTCTCCTTTAGCTTCCTTAGAGAAGTTAACACACTGCAGGAATCTGGTTTCCCCTTTGTGTCCCAAACCCCATCCCATACCTCCCTGGATAAATTCTGCCTACCTTCATTGCCTCCGTAAAAAATACTACTATTACTACTACTAATAGCAGATAGTGGTGGATATTGTAGTTTTAAGGTCCAAAATTGTGACTTAGAAACATTCCAAACAGTGGGTCTTATCTGATGAATAGCTGCTGCTGCTGCTGCTTTTTTTCTTTTTTCTTTTGTGAGAGAGGGTCTTGCCGGAGTGCAGTGTGGCACGATCATAGCACACTGCAGTCTCAGTTCCCAGGGCTCAAGCAAGGCTTCCACCGCAGCCTCCGAAGTAGCTGGGGCTACAGGTGTGCAACACCACGCCTGGCTATTTTCTTTTTCATTTTTTTGTAGAGATGGGGTCACACCATGTTGCCCAGGCTGGTCTTGAACTCCTAGGCTCAAGAAGTTCTCCCAAAATACTGGGATTACAGGCATGAGCCTCGGTACCCAGCCTGATGAATAGCTTTTGAGGGAAGAAATGAGGGACAATCAGAGACCAGTTAAGATCAGTTCTGTGGATGGTTAGGGTGTATAGGGAAAGCAGAGGGACTGGGGAGACCACTGACTCAGGATTACTGTCAGTGAAAGCCCTGGTGCCGTGACCCACAAATTTTCCCCCACTGAAGACCCTTTTCCACCACCTCCCTACTGGTTCTGTGTCGCATTAGGGCCAAGGTCGTGCCCCCGTGGGCTGCTCATCCACTTCAAGGGCCTGACTTGTAGAGGAAATAGGCTTGGCCTGTCCATTGCTTCAGATGAGGTTGTGCTGGAAACGAGAGGCATCTAGCAGTGCACCCAGCAGGGGAAGTGTTGGATGTGCAGTGTGCGGGTGGTGAAATGTCATCCATGAAAGAGCCATCAAGTTGTTAATTCTCCTTGGGGCCAGAGCATGTTGTTTTTCCTTCTTACCCTTTTCGATTTCGGAGTGGGCCGGCTGTCAGAACAGAATGATCTTGGTGCCCCCAGGTCCTCAGCAATGAGTCCATGACTTTCAAGGACAGAAAGCAAACTCCAGCTAGAGGAAAAACTGAAGGCTTGAGCTCACAAAAGTGCTTGCTTGAGCGTTTCTGGCCAAAGGGACAGTTAGTCAATGCCCTGAATCCCAAGATGCGTAGAGCAGCGAGTGAGGCCCTGCGGTCATGGTGTGGAACTAGGGGTCCTGGGGCTGCTTCCCAGCGGGGCTTCCCCTGATGGCCTCCAGACATTTGACTGTCGGCTCTCAGAAACATCAGGGCTTTTTCTGGTTTTTCCCTAAATGTCATCTGAGTCCCCGAAATGTGTCCCATGGTGACATCGTGACTCTTTTCCTCTTGAGATGACTTCAGTGACAGCACCAGGCATGCAAAGCAGTAATTTTTCCTGTTTCCTTTGATAGGTCAGCCATCCTTCTATCCTGCCTTGGGGCAAACGTGACCATTGTTAAGGCAGATTCAGGGTTCTCCGGTGCCCCACTGGGTGCTTGAAGCATCTGCACCATCCTGAGTGGGATTCAACATATGGCAAGGAAGTGAAGTGCTGGAGATTAACAAGGCAGTGTGGGGCGAAGGGTGGTCAGTAGAAGCTGGGGCTTGGAAGTCACTGGTCCACCAGTCACATTCTGAAATTTGCCCCAAGATGAGCTGTCTTCCGGGTGTTAGGTAAACTGTATCTGGTCCTGATGTCTTCGCTGGATTGTCCTTCTTTTCCATCAAGTCCCTCAGGTTGTTGAGGAGCCTCAAGAATGCATGGCTCAAGCTTCTGTCTTGCCCCAAGATTTTCTAGAGTAAACAAGGCTCAGTAGAGAGGCAGATCTGAATGTGAATCCCTACTCTTCTACTTTCTCACCTGCCGAATGGTTTTACACAAATTTTCATCTCAGAACCAGTGTTCTCACCTTTAAGATGGGCATGTTAATACTGTGTGCTCGTGAAGTTGTGAGAATCAAATTAGATGCTATGTGTAAATCACCGAGCACAGTGCCTGTCCTTTGGCTGGTGTTAATTATTCACTGTTATTACTGTTGGTCCTAATACTGGCCCTTTTTCTTTAGCAGAAGGAAGAAAAAACTCTTCCGGCAGCACAATAAATTCCACAAAGCCGGCACAGAACTTGGCTTCCCTGCCTCTCTTGCATAGAAAAGATAGATTTGGCTTTGGAAATAAGGGTTCTTTCTCAAAGTTCCCAAAGAGAGATGAACACAAATCCCTTCTGTACTTCCTCCTTCATGCCCTTCTCTTTCATTCCGTCTTCCTCCTATTTTCCTCCAAAAGATCACTGTTATGTAGCTGGGATCTTTTTGTTCAGCTGACAACTCACCTGGTCTTTAGCGTTTTTTTTGGGATTTTTGAGCACAGCCAGTTACAATTGCTACAGAATTTCTCTGAATCTCTTAGAGTCTCAGTTTTGACTTGTTTTTCTCCCTCCCTCTTCCTTTGACTCATCATTTCAAAAAAAACTTTAATGCTCAATTAAACTACTGAAAATCTAAGAAAAGTGAATGATTCTTCCTTTCAAAGCCTGTAATTCCAATCCCATTGCTGTTACAACTCTTGCATTTTTAATAAATGGGCAAGCATTAAGAGCCTTACCCAAGCCTGGATTGTAGCTAGACCAGAGAGAATAGAGTGTGCTTTTACTGGCTTAAGTCCCAACAAGTATAACCAGAGATTGAGGTTAACATTATTCACTCAATTTTAAAACAAATAAACTGATCAAGGTCACTGCCGACTGCACTGTGGCCATGAAATGAGAAAGAGAGCTGCAGAGTAGAAACCAGTGCCGGAATCCCAGCATTGCTAATTAGTTCAACTGCAGGCTCATTTCTTTACAATTTGTGAGTCTCAGTTTCCTCATCTGTAAAATGGATACAATAATACTGAGCTGACAGTTATTTGAGAATTGGGGCATATGTATTTTCTTTTGAGACAAGGTCTTGCCCTGTCACTTAGGTTGGAGTGCAGCGGTGCCATCATGGCTCACTGCAGCCCCAGCCTCCTGGGTTCAAGTGATCCTTCCACCTCAGCCTCCCAAGTAGCC